GTGTCCCGGCTCTTGGTCTGTCCCGGCTCTCGGTCCGTGTCCCGGCACTCGGTCCGTGTCCCGGCTCTCGGTCTGTCCCGGCTCTCGGTCCGTGTCCCGGCTCTCGGTCTGTCCCGGCTCTCGGTCCGTGTCCCGGCTCTCGGTCTGCGTCCCGGCTCTCACTGCATCCCGGCTCTCGGTCTGTGTCCCGGCTCTCGGTCTGTCCCGGCTCTCGGTCTGTGTCCCGGCACTCGGTCTGTGACGTCTGCTTGCTGAGAGCCTGTCTTCAGGTGGGGCGAGCATTCTGGGATGCGTCCCTGTCCCCTTGTGATGTTCTGTCCAAGCTGGGGGCTTGGACACTCTCCTAATCTCCTCATCCCCACAGTGAGCTGGGGTCCGGTTACGTCCTCCCAGGATGCACAGTAGGACTGAAGCTGCTTTCCTGAGCTGGAGGGAAGGAGCCTTAATGGCTGTTCCATGTACCATCGGGTTTTCTGCTTCTCACAGCCACGCTGTGGACGACAGGTCTGCACCTGGCCCTCCCCTGCTCCAGCCTCACCGTCCCTGATATGCTTGAGCTCGTCGGTGGTCACGGGGCCAGTCCACTACCTTGAGGGTCTTCCTCTCTTTCTCTGCCCTCCTCCTCTCCCAGCATGCTCTTGTTCCAAGGACATGCCTGAAGTATGTGTGATGAAGTTTCACCAGCTTTGTCTCCAGGAGCACTCTGGCTGCACGTCCCCCAGCATGGACTTGTCTGCTCTTTCGGTGATCTAGGGGACGGTCAGTACTATTTGTCTAACACCACAATTTAAACAAATTGATTCGTCTTCTGTCTTCCTCTTTCAAATACACGGGAAGCAATTGAAAAATGCCATGGTGGTTCTTCCTGAGAAAACACCAAATGACAGATGATGCTGGTGCAGCGGCAGGGCCCGGAGGCCCCGAGACCCCTGGGATGGGAGCCTGCGGAGGTCCACAGAGGCTTCGGTAGTGGTCTGTGGGGTCAGGGCCATGGCCGGGGCTGTGGGAGGGGCTGCAGAGCTCAAGGAGGCAAAACCAAGGACAAGGAGTGGTTCCCCGTCACCATGCTGGGCCATCTGGTCAAAGATATGAAATCAAATCCTTGGAGGAGATTTATCTCTTCTCACTGCCCATCAAGGACTCTGAGATCATCGACTTTTTCCTGGGAATGCCCCTCAAGGATGAGGTCTTGGAAATCATGCCAGTGCAGAACAGACACGTGCTGGCCAGCAGACCAGGTTCAAGGCCTTTGTCGCAATTGGAGACTGTAATGGCCATGTTGGCTTGGGCGTCAAGTGCTCCAAGGAGGTGGCTACTGCCATCCGTGGGACCATTATCCTGGCCAAGCTCTCCACTGTCCCTGTGCGGCGTGGGTGCTGGGGGAACTAGATTGGCAAGCCTCACACTGTTCGCTGCAAGGTGACTGGGCTCTGTGGCTCTGTGTTGGTGCATCTGATCCCTGCACCCTGAGGCCCTGGAATCGTCTCAGCCCCTGTGCCCAAGTAGCTGCTGCTGCTGCTTGGAATTGATGACTGTTACACCTCAGCCAGGGCCTGCACAGCTACCCTGGGCAGCTTCGCCAAGGCCGCCTTTGATGCCATCTCCAAGACCTACAGCTCCTTGACCCCCGTCTCCAGAAAGAGATTGTGTTCACCGAGTCTCCCTACTAGGAATTCACTGACCATCTTGTAGAGACTCACACCAGAGTCTCTGTGCAGAGGACCCCGGCTCCAGCTGTGGCCACCACATACTAGATTTTGTATAACAAATAAAGTGAATTAAGATAAAAATAAAAGAAAAAAGAAAATTGCCATGGTTTGGATCAAGTGCACCTTAATCTTTACACTGACATCTTTGCTCTGTAGCACTTTGGAGAGATCCCTGACAGCAGGTCTTCCCAGTGCAACACATCATTTGATTTCTTGACTCCTGCTCTCATGGGGGTTTTGTGGATGCAAGTGAAATGAAAGTGTTGACGACTTCAGCTTTTCCCCTACGTCATGAGATTCGCCTGTTAGTCCAGTGATGAGGGTTTTTGTTTTCTCGATGTTGAGACGTAATCCACATTGAAGGTTGTAGTGATTACAATATTCATCTGCTAGCCAGAAGGTCAGTGGTTCGAATCCATTGTCATTCCACAGGAGCAGAAGAGGCAGTCTGCTTTCTTAAACACTACAGCCTCGGAGTCTGTGGGCAGCTCTGCGGGGTCCGACGGTCCCGGAGTTGGAATGGAGCTGCCAGTGGAGGACTGTGGAGCAGCTCAGTGAGGTCCGACAGGGGCCCGGAGTTGGAATTGAGCTTCTGGTGGAGCATTTGGGTCAGGTTCGAGCTGAGCTGTAGGAGTCCGATTGACGAATGGGATCTGGTCTAATTTAGTTTTGGGGTTCCTCAGCTGAGCGCTGAGTCTGCAGGATCTGGATGTGGGAAGGCCTCGGTGGATTATGGGATCACATCCCAGGGCCCGGGGAACGTGTGAGGTGCACCAGACTCTTCAGAGCTCTTGTTGCTGTGTTACTTCTGGGAAGGTGGGCGTCCTTCACCCCCACACACTACGGGGCATGCTGAGTGTGCGTGGAACAGCCACGGCCCCATGAGAAGGGCCTGGTCTAGGTTGCACAGTACAAGCTACAGAACCCGGGTCCTGTGTAAAGTGGAAACCTGTCAGAGAAGGAAAACGCAGGCTGTTTGGTGTCATTGAGAGGACCGTGAGGCTCGTGACCTGTAAACTGCTGAATGGAGTGCCACCCTCTCCTGTGCAAACTGAGGGATGAAAACATAGTAAGACTTGAAGTACAGGTGGAAAATGTGTGAGACCCAGAAAACACGGCGGTGCTGTGGGGCACACACAGCTTTCTCTGTGTTGTTCTAGAATTGCGAGGTTTTCGCCTGCTGTTTCTGGCAGGTACCCACTTCGCGGTCTGGCTTCAGTGGGCCTCTCCAGGGGCCTTTGCCACAGGCCTGGGTGTGAGTCCAGCTGTGCATTGTGAGTAAGGAGCCTCCTGGCCTAGTGCCCATACGTCCAGTTCATTCCTCCTCTCACCGCAGTGCTGGCGTGTGGTCAGGTCACTCCCCGCTCGCTGTCCTGCATGTGTCCGCGGGGACTCTGCCCCATCAGACCCGCGGCTGCTGACTCCGGGAGTAAACCGCCAGGCCCGTGCTCTTACCTGTTACTGTTATTAATGCTTTGGTTACTGCTTTCTTCCTAGATTGGCTTTTTTATCTTGCCTAAGAAAAAGCCAGAATTAGTCTTCTCCTGAGATAAGTCCTAATTCTGGGCAGCACATACTTCCTGTAGAAAAAAATCATCTGCTGTGAGCTTAAGTGCAAATAACCAGTCACCTTAGAACCAAACGCAGACTCACTGCTGTTCAGCCCATGCGCTCATGGTGACCCGCCATCAGCTTCAGATCTTAACAGGAGGAGACAACTTCTCTTTCTCCCAAGAAGCAGCTGGTGGGTTTGAAACACTGACCTTTTGGTTTGGAGTCAAACACATAATGCACTTTGCTGCCGGGGCTCCTGAGGTCGCCTTTGTAAGCACAGAAAGCAACCGCCCTGCAGATGAGCCAGTTGGTTTTCTTTCCACGGAAGCAAATAGCCCTTTAAAGTTCCCTTAACTGTTCTCAGACAAACCGACACTCACATGTCAGCTAGGCCCAGGTTCTTCTTACGGTGCCTTCTGGCCATTCTCGGGATAGGTACATCCCAGCGTCCATAGATTTCCCAGGGGTCCAAAGAAGCCACATTCATTGTTTGAAAGCCTTTCAGTGTTTAAGTAAAAAAGAACAGGCAGAAGTAGACAGCAACGTGTGGTTGGGCTTACTGTGTGGGTCCAGGCTTGTGGGGAGAGTAGGTCGAGAGGAGACCCCTTTGCTAAGAGTGGTTTTGTTCTGTTTTGAGAGGGGAGGGGCCTCACATAGGTGGTCCTAGAATCGTGACCAGGCTGCTGGTCCAGGGAGATGGTCTCGGGAAACGGGGAGCTGGCAGCCTCTTCTGAGGGTCTTTCTCATGCTGGAGTCCCGTCCACACGGCCTGGGTGGGGATTGAATTTGCCCCTCGCCGTGCTAGCCTTGTTTGATTCTTGGTATGAGAAGGAGCCAGAAGATGCCAGTTTCTTGCCTGCCCAGTTTATCTTACAGGTCTTGGGTTTCTGACAAACTCTGGTGATGATTGCTGGCCGTCTCATCACCGTTTTCCTTGTCTGTGTGAAATCGCGGCCCTGGCTTTGTTCACGCTGGTGGCTTGGTCCTGCGCTCTGCGGACAGCAGGCAGGCCGTGTCGCAGGCGCTCAGGGACTCTCTCCTGGAGCGTGGTGGCCGTGCCGCTTTGTGTCTGATCAGGTGGTGGCTGTGACCGTTTGTGACTCCCTCGTGGGCTCGTCCTGCCTCATTTACCACTTACTCTATTTACTCTCTTCCTCTTCACTGAAGCCACCATCCTGATTCGATCCAGGGTCTGCCTGTGCAGGTGGGCAGACAGGAGGGCGAGGAGGTGGTGGTCAGTTCACAGCCTGCCCATCTGCTTCCCACTACCTGGCAGGACCCTGACGCCAACCTGTGGGCAGAAAGCACCCCTGGCCTCTGTCCCCTGCCGATCCACACCTTCCTTCTGCTTGTCCTTCAGGCTGCCAAGGGCAAGGACACTGTGTCCGGGGCCAGAGACGGGAAGGCCCTCTTCAGTGGGCTGGCCGCTGGGGAGTCCAACTGGCCACACCGACAGCGACGCCTGCAGGACCATGGCAAGGAGCGCAGGGAGCTGCTCTCCACCACCTCGTCCCAGGTGGACACCTCAGGGTTAGGGGGATCTGACGCCTCATCCCAGGTAGTCATCTCAGGGCTAGGGGGATCTGACACCTCGTCCCAGGTGGACACCTCAGGGTTAGGGGGATCTGACACCTCGTCCCAGGTGGACACCTCAGGGTTAGGGGGATCTGACGCCTCATCCCAGGTAGTCATCTCAGGGCTAGGGGGATCTGACACCTCGTCCCAGGTGGACACCTCGGGGTTAGGGGGATCTGACGCTTTGTCCCAGATGGTCATCTCAGGGCTAGAGGAATCTGACACCTTATCCCAGGTGGGCACCTCAGGTCTAGGAGGACCTGACACCTCATTCTATGCGGGCGTCCTGAGACTAGGGGGATCTGACACCTTGTCCCAGGTGTGGGGATGGTATGTATTTTAACACCTTGTGCCAGGTAGGCACCTCATGGCCTGGAAAGTATGTTCTGATGCTTTGTGCCAGGTCACCTCTTTGGGGCTGAGGGCTGTTCCAACCACCTTGTCCCAGATGGGTACCTCTGGGCTAGGAGGTGTTCCGACACCTCGGCCTTGGTGCTGGGCGCTGGGGAGCCTGTCCAGCCACCACGTCCCTGGGCAGACACTTACCTGGACCCTGCTGTTCCCGATGAATGGTGGTGTAGGGGGACATTAGGAGGACCCCTGCTGACCAGCCCCTTGCTTGTTGACAGAGCTTAGAAAAGAAGCCTGACGCTGGTGGTATAGAGGCCGAGCCTGGTCCAGAGCCGCCGGCAGAGCCCACGGAGGTGCACACGCGGGGTCCCGAGGGGGGACGCCCTGAACAGCCCTTCATCGTGCTGGGCCAGGAGGAGTATGGGGAGCACCACTCATCCATCATGCACTGCAGGTGTGCAGGGGGGTGAGGAGGGGGCTGGTGAAGGTGGCGGGGGAGGTTGGGGGCATCACTCGCCCATCGTGCCCTGCAGGTGTGAGAGAGGGGAGCAGGGGTGAGAGTGAAGGTGACGGGGGAGGATGGGGGCATCACTCGCCCATCGTGCCCTGCAGGTGTGCAGAGAGGGGAGCAGGGGTGAGAGTGAAGGTGACGGGGGAGGATGGGGGCATCACTCGCCCATTGTGCCCTGCAGGTGTGCAGAGAGGGGAGCAGGGGTGAGAACGGAGAGGTAGGAGGAGGTTGGGGGCATCACTCGTCCATCGTGCCCTGCAGGTGTGCAGAGAGGGGAGCAGGGGTGAGAGTGAAGGTGACGGGGGAGGATGGGGGCATCACTCGCCCATCGTGCCCTGCAGGTGTGAGAGAGGGGAGCAGGGGTGAGAACGGAGAGGTAGGAGGAGGATGGGGAGCACGGCACTCCCTCCGTGCACTGCAGTTGTAGAGAGCGGGGTAAGGAAGGAGCTGGGTGCCAGGGTCTGGTGGCCTTGTCAGTGCTCAGCCCCTCCCCCATCATGCCAGTCCTGCAGCCGCTGTGTCCGCACATCTCAACACCTCACTGTCTCCCTCTCCGCTAACTGTTCCACTGGAAGATCTCTGGCCATGGACCTCTCCAGAGTAGTGAGGAGCAGCGATGTCAGTCTCGGTGTGTCTGTTCCAGGCCACGGTCTTCACAGTTACTTGCTGTGTGTTAGAAAGCTGGACAGTGACTAAGGATGACAGAAGAATGAATGCCTCTGAGTTGTAATGCTACAGAAGAGTCTTGAACAAACAGGTCTGTCTTGGAGAGGGTGAAACCAGGTTTCACCTTGGAGGCTAGGATGTTGAAGCTCTGTCTCACACACTTTGGGCACTTGGCCAGGTGAGACCAGTCCTTGGAGAAGGACATCATGCTCGGAAGAGTGGAGGGACAGTGCAGGAGAGGAAGACCCTGGATGAGATGGATTGACACAGTTACTAGGGTTATGGGAGTAGGCGTGTTGGAGTTAGACTGTCTCAGGACCAGAGCTGTTGTACATAGGGTCTCTACAAGTCACAGGCGACTCAAAGGCATGTAACAGCAGGAGTCGTCAGTCCTGATATTAACGTGTTTTCTGTTGGCACTTCGAGGTAAATTTTTATCACTGATAAGCTGTGACTTAAACATGGTACAATCTGGCCTTTTGAGAACGGTCACTGCAAACATGATTCTGAGGGGGTCATAGCCTCATTGTGCAGGCTGGGTAGGCTCTGGGCCCTCCAGCTGTCCCGAGGAGTGAGCCCACCCAGAAAGCCCACACCAGTGCTGCACGGTGGACCCCCATTCATGGCAGCCCCAAGTGGGCAGAGTAAACTGCTCTGCAGGGTTTCCATGCTGCAACCTTTGGGAAGCAGGTTGCAAATCTGTCAACGGCTTCATGTTGCTTGAGTCCACAATCAGCATCCTCTGTATGAGAAGGCAGGAGATCAGGAGACAGCCTGCGCTGGGAAAATCTGCACTTAGGGACCTCTCCAAATTACTGAGGAATGATGTCATTTGAGCACTAAGATGCATCTGATTCAGGCTCTGGTTTTTCTGATCACTTGCTGTGCATCTGAGAGCTGGACAGTGAATACGGATGACAGAAGAATTACCGTCTTCGAGCTGTGGTGTTGGAGAAGAGGGCTGCACATCCGACAGACGGCCAGAAGAACAAACAGATGTGTCTTGGAGAAGGCGCAGCCAGAGTGCTCTTTGGAGGCAAAGATAATTAAGCTTCGCCTCATACTTTGGGCGTGTTGCTAGGAGAGGCTGTTCCTTGGAGAAAGACGTAATGCTTAGCAAGTAGATGGTCGGTGAAGGAGAGGAAGACCCTCAGTTAGGTGGATTGACACGGCAACTACTGCAGTGGGCTCTAGTGTGTCGGAAGTGTGAGAATGGCGCAGGATAGGACCGGTTCAGATCTGTTTTTAGGGTTGCAGTGGGTTGTACTCTGCTTGGTGGCACCTAACAACAACAACATGCCTTGATAGAAAGGTCTGGAAATCTGCTTCCGCTAGCCAAAGCCAAGAAAACTCAGGGGTCAGTTCAGCTCTGCACACGTGGCGTTGCCAGGCGTGGGAATCAGTTAGATCCTATGCGTCTGAGAGCGGGCCCGTGAATAAGGATGACGGGAGAAGGCGCCTGTGAGGCGGGCTGCTGGAGATGGGAACTGAAGGTCTCACGGACTGCCAAAGAGCAGATAGATGTGTCGTGGAGAAGGTGCAGCCAGGGCGCTCCTGGGAGGCAGGGGTGATGAAGCTTCGTCTCACATACTCTGCATTTTGTCAGAAAGACATCGTCCTCAGCAGGACGGTTGACACAGTGACTGGAGCAGCGGGCCGAGCGTGTTAGAGATGGTGAGACGGTGCGGGCCGGGTCCAGAGTCAGATCTAGGGTTGCTGCGCGTCGTAGTGGACTCGGTGACACGTAACCACAACTTTTTAGACAAACTGCTTCTCTTAGCAACGCCGCGTGAGGACAGAGAGGCCCAAGTCGGTTACACGGGCCCTGAGGAATGTGAGGGGCCTGTTGAGCTTTGTGTCCAGCCCCGGCCTCAGCACACAGGGGACCCCAGAATGTCCTTCCTGGACACAGACGGACGTGCCTCTCCAGAAAGACCCCGTGTCCCATCAGTGAGTGCAGACACCTCGTGGCATTTTGGGAACACTGCAGAGCGAACGCACGGCCATCTCCACGCTGACCGATGGATGTGGGACAAGGGCTGTGCTGATGTCCTTTCTCCTCTGCCCCAGAGTGGACTGCTCCGGGAGGAGGGTGGCCAGCTTGGATGTGGACGGGGTCATCAAAGTGTGGTCCTTCAACCCCATCATGCAGACCAAGGCGTCCTCCATCTCCAAGTCTCCGCTGCTCTCCTTAGAGTGGGCCACCAAGCGGGACAGGCTGGTGAGTGGCTTTAGCCGTGTGGCTTGCAGAGGGGGCAGTTCTCTGGGCCCTTACCAGTCACTGTGCCCAGGGAGCCCTGGGGGGTGGTCTGACGGGGATGGTTGTCTGGGCCCTTTACTGGTCACTGTGCCCAGGGAGCCCTGGGGGGGGGTGGTCTGAGGGGGACAGTTCTCTGAGCCCTTTACTGGCCACTATGCCCAGAGGAGGCCTGGGGTGGTCTGAGGGGGCCAGTTCTCTAGGCCCTTCACTGGTTACTCTGTGCCCAAGGGTGCCCTGCAGAGGTGGTTTGAGGGGGACAGTTCTCTAGGCCTCTCACTGGTCACTCTGTGCCTGGGGAGGCTCTGCAAGACTGGTCTGAGGGGGACAATTCTGGCCTCTCACTGGTCACTCTGTGCCCATGGGAGCCCTGTAGGGGATGGAGGGGGAGCGTTCTCCTGGCCTCCCACTGGTCACTTTGCCCAGGGGAGCCCTGTGGAGTGGTCTGAGGGGGGCTGTTCTCCTGACCTCTCACCTGTCACTCTGGCACTGGGGACCCCTGGAAGTCTCTAGTACTGCGTAGAGGCTGCTGAGCTGAATCCCTCCCCTTCTCCCCGGGACAGGCTCGGACCCGGCGGCACCTGCGCTGGGCAGTCACGAGTTAGGCTGTTGGACGGTGGACGCCTCGCCCTGTGTGGCTGGCTTGCTTTCTGGTCTGCCGGGTTACACGGTCTTGGCTGCTCTCATCAGCCCTGTCCCCCATCCCACCTCCTGTCCCCC